CCCTCGATCTAGTTCTGACGTATGGAATTGAAATTGATAACCTAAAAGTCTTTCCACAGAATCCCTTGCTATCAGATCATTATCTGATTACTTTTGATTTCTTTTTACTCGATTACACGCCACTCAGCAACAGTTACTATACTAGATGTTTATCAGATAGTGCTGTCACAAAATTTAAGGAAAAGATTACTTCGTCGTTAAATTCAATACCAATACCTTCAGTAACAGAGGTTTCCCGTGCCGACTTTAACCTCTCCCAAATTGATCATTTTGTTGATAGCGCCGTAGGCTCGCTGCGAACAACGCTCGACTCTGTAGCTCCTCTTAAAAAGAAGTTAACAAAGCAAAGAAAGTTTGCTCCTTGGTATAACTCTCAAACCCGTAGGTTAAAACAAATATCGCGAAAATTTGAAAGGAATTGGCGATTAACCAAACTGGAAGAATCTCGTTTAATCTGGACAGACAGTCTCAAAACTTATAAGAGGGGCCTCCGCAATGCCAGAGCAAACTATTACTCAGCATTAATAGAAGAAAACAAGAACAACCCCAGGTTTCTTTTCAGCACTGTAGCCAGGCTGACTGAGAGTCAAAGCTCTATTGAGCCTTGTATTCCTTTAGCCCTTAGCAGTAATGATTTTATGAGCTTTTTTAATGACAAAATTCTAACTATTAGAGGCAAAATTCATGACCTCCTGCCCTCAGATGGTAGGCCTACCTATCTAACCTCAAACACAGCTGTAGAATCTAATATATATTTAGATTGCTTCTCCCCAATTTCTCTTCAAGAATTGACCGCAGTGATTTCTTCATCTAAATCATCAACGTGTCTCTTAGACCCCATCCCAACTAGGCTACTTAAGGAGGTCTTTCCTTTAGTTAACACTCATATATTAGATATGATCAATATATCCCTATTAACAGGCTATGTACCACAGTCTTTTAAGGTAGCTGTAATTAAACCTCTCCTAAAAAAGCCCACCCTGGATCCAGAGGTGTTAGCCAACTATAGACCAATATCTAATCTTCCCTTTATGTCAAAGATCCTTGAGAAAGTAGTCGCAGACCAGCTGTGTGATTTTCTCCAGGATAATAATTTATTTGAGGAATTTCAGTCAGGATTTAGAGTGCATCATAGCACTGAGACAGCTCTAGTTAAAATTACAAATGACCTTCTGATTGCTTCAGACAAAGGACTCGTCTCTGTTCTTGTTTTATTAGATCTTAGTGCGGCGTTTGACACAATTGACCATCAAATTCTACTGCAGAGACTGGATCACTTAATTGGCCTAAAAGGTTCAGCACTAAGCTGGTTTAAATCTTATTTATCTGATCGTTTTCAATTTGTTGACGTTCGTAATGAATCATCCTTACGTACCAAAGTTTGTTTTGGAGTTCCGCAAGGTTCTGTGCTCGGACCAATCCTATTTACTCTATATATGCTTCCTTTAGGTAACATCATTAGAAATCACTCTATAAATTTCCATTGTTATGCGGATGATACACAGTTGTATTTATCGATGAAGCCAGAAGAAAGTAATCAATTAACTAAACTCCATAACTGCCTTAAAGACATAAAAAATTGGATGAGCACCAATTTCCTGATGTTAAATTCAGACAAAACTGAAGTTATTGTTCTTGGCCCCAAACAACTCAGAGACTCTTTATCTGATGACATAGTTTCTCTAGATGGCATTGCTCTGGCCTCTAGCACTACCGTAAGAAACCTCGGAGTAATATTTGATCAAGATTTGTCTTTTAATTCTCATTTAAAGCAAACCTCACGGACTGCATTTTTTCATCTGCGTAATATTGCGAAAATTAGGCCTATCCTGACCCGAAAAGATGCAGAAAAATTGGTCCACGCTTTTGTTACCTCAAGGCTGGATTACTGTAACTCTCTATTATCAGGTAGCTCTAGTAAGTCCTTAAAAACTCTCCAGCTAATTCAGAATGCAGCAGCACGTGTACTAACAGGAACTAAGAAACGAGATCATATTTCTCCTGTTTTAGCTTCTCTGCACTGGCTCCCTGTAAAATCCAGAATTGAATTTAAAATCCTACTGTTAACTTATAAAGCTCTAAATGGTCAAGCTCCGTCATATCTTAGAGAGCTCATAGTGCCATATTATCCCACCAGAACACTGCGCTCTGAGAACGCAGGGTTACTCGTGGTCCCTAAAGTCTCCAAAAGTAGATCAGGAGCCAGAGCCTTCAGCTATCAGGCTCCTCTCCTGTGGAATCATCTTCCTGTTACGGTCCGGGAGGCAGACACCGTCTCCACATTTAAGACTAGACTTAAGACTTTCCTCTTTGATAAAGCTTATAGTTAGGGCTGGCTCAGGCTTGCCCTGTACCAGCCCCTAGTTAGGCTGACTTAGGCCTAGTCTGCCGGAGGACCCCCTATAATACACCGGGCTCCCTCTCTCTCCCTCTCTCTCTCTCTCTCTCTCTCTCTCTCTCTCTCTCTCACTCTCATCCTATTACTGCATCTTGCTAACTCGGCCATTCTGGATGTCACTAACTCGGCTTCTTCTCCGGAGCCTTTGTGCTCCACTGTCTCTCAGATTAACTCATATCGCAGCGGTGCCTGGACAGCGTGACGTGTGTGGTTGTGCTGCTGCCGTGGTCCTGCCAGATGCCTCCTGCTGCTGCTGCCATCATTAGTCATTAGTCATACTTCTACTGTTATTATACACATATGACTATTGTCACACATGTATACTGCCAGATATTAATACATACTTTCAACATATTGTACCACAGTAGCCAGAACTATAACTATAATATTATTACTTTCAATAATGTTGTTGTAAGCTACTGTCATTACCTGCATCTCTCTCTCTCTCTCTCTCTCTCTCTCTCTCTCTCTCTCTCTCTCTGTCTCATTGTGTCATATGGATTACTGTTAATTTATTATGCTGATCTGTTCTGTACGACATCTATTGCACGTCTGTCCGTCCTGGAAGAGGGATCCCTCCTCAGTTGCTCTTCCTGAGGTTTCTACCGTTTTTTTTCCCCCGTTAAAGGGGGTTTTTTGGGGAGTTTTTCCTTATCCGCTGCGAGGGTCATAAGGACAGAGGGATGTCATATGCTGTAAAGCCCTGTGAGGCAAATTGTGATTTGTGATATTGGGCTTTATAAATAAAACTGATTGATTGATTGATTGACTTCACTGAAAGTGTGGGTCAGGGCTCCCTTGGAATCTAGGGCAGGTTTTAAGTGTTGGAAACCACTTCCACTACCTCAATTCTGTTTTGGGACACCACTAGCCTAAACGTGAACGCTCAGAACCAAGTGCAAGTAGGTATTTCTAGGGGAAATGTGGGTATTGGGACAGGCCCTACCCTCAGTCTGGCTCCACAGCTGCCTGCAATGTGGAAATACAAATTACTGCTTGACTTTAAGAGTCTCAGTTAGCCGAAGGGGTCTCTGACTGACGATTTGAATCTTTGACTTCCCGGGGGCAGCCCTGAGATTCATGGAGATGTTATCATGTAAACAAGACTGAACTAAACTGAAAACTGTAAACTGAACTCCAACAAGTTCTGGTTCCTGCTCTAAGATGAAGGTTTACTGACTTATCAATCAACCATTCTGCTTAGTCCAGTATATCAAAAGTAACCAAAAATAAAATTTAAAACCACAACTGCTCAACATCATCAGTAGGTTTCTGCAAATTCTGGCCCCTATCAGAGATGTAATTATTTCAACCTTTCTCTTTCACTCTCTCTCTATAAGCTGCAGTGTGTGCAGTCTATCCCACATCTTAACCTTTATAGCTTGTCCTGGGTACTGTTAAGCCAGTGGATAAGACCGTCTCAAACAAGGCCATAGCCAAATGAGCAATCAGACACACAGCGAGAACATTTCCAAACAAGTCTCAGTCTACATACTGTGAGTTTCTTCCCCTTAAAACTGCATCCAGGATACCAAGGGCCAGGTTAAACACCCTTAAACCACAAACCAGCACAATGACAAAAAGCAGACAATCCCTCAAAGAACAAAACTCGAAATCTCAAGGGCTAAACCCCAAAAAGACCAAACTCGTCCAAAACCAAACAAACTGGAGACTTGTCCTTTAACGATATTTTACTCTTTGAACTCTCCTGCTAACTAGTTGGCATGTCACGACCTGTTGGACGTCACTCTCTGTGTGTCAGGAAGGGGATGGTGGGGATGTGCAGAATGATTCTACAGCTGTGAAAGTGGTGCAGATGTGCAAAGAAAGCACGGCAGAATATATTAATAAGATAAACAGACATTTGAAAATTGACTTAAAATTTGAATAAAAATGTGAGACAAATATTTGAGGACAACTTTATATAAAAGTTATAAGACACGTAAAAAAAACTAATTTTTTTTTCAGTCATTCTTTTTAGTAGTATTATTAGAATTATTTATCAAATCAACAAATAGTTAAACAAAACTGTAGCCTGCACAACAGGCCAGCAGCAATCGTACTTCCTGAGGAAGTTTAACTTGTTTGGGGTGTGACACCTGACAACTCTTGTCACATTTCTGAGCATTGTAATGTGTCTGCTGGTGACAAGAACAAGCTGCACGGCACAATGAGTGTCAAGTTATACCACAGGCCATAACCTGTCTAACATTTTCAGTAGGAGGGTGAGTATCCACTCAGTCCTCCTTATGCACAGTCCGAGCTGCCTCCCTCAGGACTTGCATTAGGGCTATCAGACTGGGTCAAATTGTTATGCCCTGCGCTAAATTCTTACTCACTAGTTGATGACTGAAGCAAAGAATACAGGGTTTAGTTTCTGTACTAATGAAGTAGATGGTCACACTGAGCAGTGATGATGTATTCAACATTCAGTACAGTCCTGCTTATGAGTGTCTGCCAATAAGTCAGACTATCCCAGTGTAACTACCGTACACATGGTATCGAGCCAGCCTTTGAACAAAGTCTAGACGCTACCAAACAACCACCGATCAAACACTGTTAAGCTGACAGGCGGGAGAAGCTTATGAGCCAGACTGCTTACCTGTTCTGCTCCTCCAGCTTGGCAAGCAGCTCCACATCGTCTGGACTGAGCTGCGCCGGCGAGGATGGGGAGAGGGCAGGCGAGGACAGAGACGTAGAAGAGGAGTTGGTAGTGGTCTGCAGGGACGTGGGCGTGGCCACCTGGCTAGCCATCTGACTGACTGTGTGGGACACCGAGTTCTTCACCCATGAGAGAGTAGAACTCAGCTTTCCAGCAACCTTGTCTGTCGCCACCTGTGGAGGATGGAGGATACCGCTTAATTCAGTGATAGTGAAATGTAATCATGCGGCAGGAAGGAAGAGTAAAAGCCACAGTGAGATGTTGATGAAGAGCTGCAGACAACAGACTGTTACTGCACCTCTGCAAACAGCTCACCCCCAACAGGTAAACTTCTTTCACCTGCCCTGCTGTGGAAAAACACATGCAGCAAAAATAACAGGGGCTTGCAACTGAACATGTAGCCCACGTCTTAGAAAATACTGGGATATATATCATGTATCGCCATTCAGCCTGAAAATACCGAGATGTGAATTTTTGTCCATATCGCCCAGCCCTACCCGCTACTCCAAGTGTTTACATTTTGTAGACTACACTGCTAAATGAAGCTACATGCTAATGTCAGGGAAATATGTTGGGTTCATCCCACTATCCCTCCTTGACTCCTCTATCCTCGATCACTTGAGCTGAAAACTGATTGTGACCCACCATCTTGAATAAGGAGCTGAGGAGTCGAGGAGAGAGGAGGACTTTCAGAGGAGGGTAGTGAGAATATCAGTTATTGATTGGATGGTGCAGTGCTGCAGCTGATTGGACTGCTCTGATACATCACAACATCGCCAGAGTTTCACAGACATCTCATTTCCCTAAAGACATATTTCCTCGTTTCCGCTCTCCTCTCATCTAATCCTTGCATCTCCCCCCGTGTCTTACAAGGGTGGAGGAGGAACAGATGCAAGCGGGGGAAACGTGGATGCCAGATAAGGTATTTGGATGAACCCATTAACTTGGTTGCCAATGTTGGAAATCTCTCCCCGATTTCGGATCATATTCCTACTGGAACATGTCTGATTGTGTTTAGAAGCTTTTATTTGTGATGTTTCACAGGAAAAAGTGCTGCTGTTCTTCTTTACAGTCATTCCCCAGCTGCAATGACAGTACAGAGACACCAAGATATGGACAACCCGGAAACACTGACCATTGAGAGCAGACTGGAAACAGAGTGTTTCAGACAGAGGGTGAGTACAGGTACAGGAAAATAAAATGTTCTTTGACTATTAAAGCCTGTAGACATTTTCTAGTAGAAACCTTAAGTCAAGCATAAACCTGAAAACGAGCATAGTAGGTCCCCTTAAAAACTCTCCCTGTCAATGATGTGATGCTTACATTCTTTACAATGCATTAAATATTTATTTAAACATCATTCCTGCCAGATCTATGACAGCATAGATCCAGCATTAAGTATCAGATGGATCAATACAGCTCCTCAGTTTCAAACTTAGCATCAGCAAATTCATTTGTCGCTTTCTGATACCAAATCAATACTTTAAATGACATGCTTGTCTCCCTGTGCTTTGAGTATGGATTAAATGACAATCACTTACTATTAACTTTCTGTCAGTGCGTTCACTTTAAAAAACAAGATGTTCTATGCAGATTTTTCGACACATTTCTTTACCAGTAACTCTTCCCATCTGCAGAAGCACAGTCTAGTATTTTCTGTCAAATGTAATATGCCAGTTTCATTAAGGAGGTGCTTCTTGTTCACCACAGGCCACACAACCACCGGACACCACAATGAATCAGAGCGTTCCATTACAGTAACCTGCTGACACTTGACAGAGTGATGTAGGTTTTACATTTTGTGGTATACCGCCAACAACAGCATGAAAAACAAGTACTTGAATCGGTGCTCAGTAATGGCCAATCTGCTGTCATCAAAACAAGCCGCTACAGAAAGGATGTAAGTACATGCTGAACGATACTGATGGTAAAACCAATCCCCTGCACCAACAGTCCATAAAATGAATGCAGGGCATCTTCTATGCATTCCTACCTGCTATTCCAAATCATAGCTGCTTATATACTCCATGAGAAAATCCAGTGTGTATCCATGAGAACACCACAAAAAGAAGGAAAAAACTATCACGTTTGACTGTCAGTGACACGTCCCAACATGACGGTAATCCACCATTCTGAACCTTGGACCGTTTTAATGACACACTGCCCTGTAGTCATATGCTGATCACACTGTTAGGAAGGGTCAAAGTGCTCCACCTAAGATAGGACTTCTTAAAGTCTCTGTACAACGGGAAGTGGATCTCTGCGCTCAGCGAAAAAACTCTTGCACCTGAGAAAAAACTGACTTTGCCTTTAGTTTCAACCCAACAGGAAGTCTGGATATCAGCCAATCATTTCATGCATCTTATTCCGTAAAAAAAAATAATGAGTCATTTCTCTGTGAGTATCAGGTCTACAGAGGGTCAAAGACAAAGCGGAGAAGGAGAGAAAAACAAAGGAGGTGGAGAAAAAGATTGTGGTAAATGTGGTGATAGGAATGTGCTACAGTACAGACTGAAAATATCTTAGCTAAAGTTTTTTTTTTAGTGGCCTGTATTCAGACAGTTTCACTCAGTAACTTTACAGTTACCACACAGCACACAGCAAAGAGGTGAATACTGTTTTAACATTATTGTTGAATGTCTTTAAATACAATATGATTAAGAATAATGTGAGGTTATGTGGGTTAAACACTAATGATTGGAAGCAGACACTGGCTAAATCCTCAATGGGTAGATCTGGAAAAAAAAGTTTTATTATATCTTTTATTACGGTGAGGTTCAGTGGACTCTGTTTGATACTTTAACATGGGATTTTTCCCACACTGACAGATATATATAATCCCACAGAGACTGTAAAAATTAGTCCTGACCCACATTCTCCTGTCATTACACTGCAGAGCTTTAAGTTCAAAGCATTTAAACCTGAAACAAATTGTCATGAAATCCTGCATGTCTGCAACCTCCCTAGAGCCAGGCGGCAAAGAAATCACGCTTTGGATGAAGAAGAAATTTTAATTAAATTTCTTCTAAATTTTGAGAAATATGTGTATGAACTAAGGATCAGACAATATACAGTTCCACGGTAGATCACAAGAAAAAACATTCACAGTAAGATGATTGTGGTGAATTTTTCATTATCAAGATCATCATGTCCAGCAGCACTGAAAGAGACTGCTGGGCAACCAACAATAAAATACACTCTGCAGAAACAGGTGTATTGCATATCAAAAGATCTTATGTCATTTCAATTAGTTGAAAAGCCTGGCTTTTTAAGATTGTTTCTTAGTATAAAGGATGTTCACTAAACAAAGATGTGTGTCCTATCTGTGAAAGCGTTTTAACACCAGGAGTGGGCAAAATGGCCCTAAAATAATATCACGGTATTTTTGCAATGATGATATTCTTGATAATATGACAAATTAGTAAAAAAATATATATAATTAATTTAAGGACATAGAATAGCAATTAAATAAGTGATATAGTTTTACAGTTTGCCTTAAAATATTTAGTAACACTAAACAAAAATGATCTCTCATTTCTTTAGTTTGTGAACAACAGTAACTCAGACTGAGATTCAGATTCTGTTACAATATTAATCTACCACTAATTACACATTTAAACAGTTCCCTAATACAAAAAATGTCCCCTGGGATCTATATATATAAATCAACAGGTGATTTCCTTCTTCTAGCAAAATCCTAAATGATTGAGTCGGGGTTTTTTGTCCCACCTGGACCTTTATGCTCTGCCATTTCTCCTCTAATCATCACGCTGTAACCTGTGGAGGGTGTTAAGATACCACAACTATTTCACATTACCAAAGGTTTATGACAAAATCACTTGACGACACCGACTCCGGTGTGCGTACAGCGACAGAGCAGAGGGAGAGACGCTGTGCTGCTGCCAGAGGAGCTGCTGAATGAGTTCCCTCTGAGCGGTAACTCACTAAAAGAGTCTGAGAAGTCCGGGGCTGTTCATAAAACATTCAGGACGCCACATTTTGTTCCACACTACTGAAGCTGCTCCTCTTTTTGAAACCACCACAGTCGGCAATAGTTTCGCTTTCAGCCGTGCTTGTTGTTGCCATCGGTAACTCAAATCTACTGTGATAAAGACAAAAATGCTAAAAAAAAAAATCAAAAAAAAAAATCAGAGAAAACATATATGTTTGTTCATAATTCACCAACATATATGTTTGTTCATAATTCACCAACATATATGTTGGTGAATTATGAATTCACTTACATTATGTATAGTAAAAGCTACTGTATATTATGATGCATGCTCTACCTCTGGGGTCTCCTGGCATTGTGCTTGTGCCCAGTCTATTCTGAAATGGAACAAAACAAGAAGCGGATACACTGAACTTTTACTGTTTTCATGACAACACCCTGTTCCTGAGCTTTCACTGTAGGGGGCATATTTACTGACCTTCCCAATACCATGTGGCTCACTGTCTTACACATCACCTATAATTAGACAATTAAAGTGCGATTTATCTATATAACAGATGATCATGTCTTTATCTCTGTCTTTTAAGAAAAAGACCTTCATGAGTTAAACTTTTTTCCCATACAACTCAGTACACTGCTCACACAAACACTAATTCAATGACTGTGAAAACACAGTTTACCCACTCTGACTGCTTTTACCAAAAATAACAGGATCCACACCACTAACGGACACATCCTGCTCCTGTACAGAGCCAGAATATCGATTGGGTGTGTGCAGTGCAACCTGACACAGATGTTGATCAGCACATTTTCCCACTTCAACAGCAGAAAAGTAAAAGCGTACACGGTCGTCCAGTTAATTAATACATCCTTTTGTTTGTATTACACAGATCTGACAGAGTATTAGGACATCTAATCTTCCTGACAGACACATTAACCTAGTTACAGATAACTGCATCTAACTGAATTATTAAAATGTAAAAAGGATCAAAAATTAGAATCAGCAACGATATGGGAATATTTAAAAAAGAACAATCTGATTCTGAAAAACTGCGCTCCCCAGTTTGTATCTTACACCAATGTTTCTTCCCCCCTACCCAACTCTTTTTTGCACAACTGATCCAGGCTAGCATTGTGTCTGCAGTCTTCCTCTTTGAAAGCAAAGAAGAAAACGTGAGGTTTCTTCACAGACCGACTCCCAATGTGGGACACCATGCAGAACTAACTGGGGGAGAGAAAAGATGACCACGTAGACTAAACACCACGTGGGCCAAGTGGAGGTTAAGGTCTGGACCTTGCCTTGTTAAAGTGTGCTCTTATTAGGTCTGATTAATGATTAGCCTCATAAATAATGATCTTAGTTAATTTCCTGATTCATAAAACTTCGACAAAACAAACAGCAGTATGATTTATTGCAGTTGGGTTTTTTTAACGCAGATTAAAAACAACCCAAATGCAGCATTCTGGGAGCAAAATGTGATCAGATCTAAAATCAACTTAGTCAGGACAGGGGAAGACCACGCTTTGAGAGATGCCAGTGTCCAGGTGGCCTTAGAATACATTCCTTCTAGCAAGCCCAGCCAACTGAAGCAAGGCGTCCCTATAAATCCTGGATACAGAGATTGTTTCTGCTTTTGTTTGCCAAAGAACTCAAAGGGGGCCCTGAGATGCAGTGCGCATAGCTAATGAAACCCACAGCGAAGCACGAATAAAAAAGCCCCGGCGAAACAACTTCAAGACGATTGGGGAACTGAGAAAGAGCAGAGAAGCATTTCCTTTCTCCTAATTCAAAATGCACGCCACCCAACAGATATCTCACGGTGCTGTAAAACAGACTCTTAAAAGAGCCAGGACAAATGTAAAACTACAAGGTGTTTATCGTCGTCATGTGAGGTGACAAGACTGATTGATCTCGCCTTTCTCTCTTTTGCTTCTCTTTCCTCGCATACCATTTCTAGGCAGTGAATGAGGACAAACTGTGTGGCCCAGCAGGAGAGAGCATGGCCATCTTCAGGGAAACATGCTGTCCATGTGCTGTGTGAGGGTATTAAAACACAGGCCTGACTTACAATAACACGGTCACACTGAGGTAGAAAGGCCTTTCACTTCACACACAGGGGGAAGCTCAGATTTTCCCAGTGTACAATCAGCATTTCAATGGTCCCACTGAAGGCTATTCTTCATTATGCAGCCACATAATGAGAGCTGCAACCACTGGCTAATAATTTACACTTGGCCTGCAAAACCAGCACTGCAGAAAGTAGCCTTACAGTAGTGTAGGAAATGTTTCAATCGATAATGTTAAACATATATCTCAGCCTTGGTTAGTTTATTCTGTGGGAGTGAGAGCCAGTCTAAAACACCGGCTACTAAGCACTCTGTGAAAGTGTGTGTAAGCTCCATTGTCTACATCAGTGACTGGCATATGGTCCTCCACAGACCACCTCTAGATCCGTGCGATATGTCCATATGTGGTATTGGGCCACTTGAAAAGCTCACTCCATTCACTTGCACTCACTAGTTTGACAGATGTCACTACAGCCTCTTGTAACCACTCAACCGAAACTTTCTCTGTGTGAGATAACCCCAAAATACAAGTCCCAAAACATGTGGGTTATTATAACTCATTCTGTAATGTTCCTCTGAGGTTGGTGGTCAGATTAAAGTTTCTGTGGTAACTCGTTCTGTATTCTCACAGATACAACTTCCAGAAAAACACCTGACAAAAAAGAGAAGTTCAGTGTTAGTTACCTCCCAGGAAACTCATTTTACAAATCGCATGAGTCACTAACCTACACATGCTAATTTAAGCACTCTGGGTGAATTCTGATCACAGAAATGCAGAGTTGCAGAGGTGTACTGAAACTGAATACATTGAGTCAAAGGATGAGCTAAATCAGTGGTAGAAGTACTCATATCTTTTACTTAAAAAGGTCCAGTGTGTAGGGTTCAGGCGGATATATTGGCAGAAATGGAATAGAATATATAAGTATGTTTTCTTTGGTGTATAATCGCCTGAAAATAAGCATTGCTGTGTTTTCGTTACCTTGGAATGAGCCATTTATATCTACATAGAGAGCGGGTTCTTGTCCTTGTCTACAGAGATCCACCATGCCCAGAACGGACAAACCAAATACTGGCTCTAGAAAGGGCTATTCGCATTTAGCGGCAGCTACCATAGTTAAAAGCCCCTCATTGACAAGCAGCATTAGAAAAACACCACATTTTCTAACATGCAACTGCTTTATTCAGTGTTTTTACTGGTTTTAATCACCTGGTCTCTTTGTTTTGCAGAGGAAGAGACCTCTGCGGATAATTTGGCTCACGGTAAAAACGTCCTGAACGTCTAGATCCTAAGTTATATGATACAGCCTGTCTCCAACAAGCCAAACTACATTGGAGAAACACTGATTTGTAACAAGCACTGCTTTACTCTGTGTTTTCCTTAGTGTAAATCACCGGGTCTGTTTGTTTTGGAGAGGAGGAGACGACTGCGGATAATTCGGCTCCTGGTAAAGAACTCCTGAAAATATAAATCAGACAAAAGGTGAGCCCACATTAGCAGAACCTTGTTGCAGCAAACTGCTTTGTTTGGTGCGTTTGGTCTGTTTGTTTTGGAGAGGAAAAGACCTCTGCGGATAATTCAGCTCCTGGTAAAAACCAATGCTGACGGAGATCTCGTCAAGAGAAGTTAAGCTCGTCGCTTTATGCAATCCTCACTGCTACACACCACTACATCTCCCTCAATCTTACACAATGTTCCTTCAAGTAAAAGTAGCAACACCACAGTGTAGAAACACCTGGTTACAAGTAAAAGTCATGCATTCAAAAACTTACTTGAGGAAAAATACAAAAGTACTTTTATTGTTTTCAAAACACATACTTAAAAAAATAGATTAAAGTTTCAATTATAGTACTCAAGAGTCAACCAAAAACAAAAACATTTAAAAAATTTTTTTGATTTCATTCCTTTAAGGCACAAACCCAGATGGTTATTGTACCCTGAAACTCTCATACCCTACCACACAGAATAAAATGTGTTATAATATTGGTTATATTTATTGAAAAATTAATGTGTGCATCACTTTTATGTTGCAGATGGCAAAGAAGGGGCTAATTTTAATGTATATCTTTCGTAATATATCAGAACTTATGGGTTGATTTACAGTCTTAATAAACCTAATTTGTAAAGTAACTTGTAACTAAAGTTATGAAATAAAAGTAGTGGAGTAAAGAAGGTTTTATAAGGTGTTAAACTTTGGGTTAATCGTCCCCTACATCTGTGGCCACAGACCCGTGGTGTTGTTGCAACTTGCAAGTCACTTCTCCGCAGTTTGAGTTAAATATATCCTCGGCCTGCACGCAGCCAATGCCACACAGGGCTGAGCAGTGTAAATCCTCTGCTTAGGCTACACACCATGCTCCCAGCCATCAAACACATTTTAGTTTACAGGCAGTAAATAGACAGAGGAGAAGTCTCTGCTCCTTTTATGGCTCGCTGTTGTGGTGAGCTGAAATGGACATGTAGCATCAAATGCAACAGTGTTCAGTGTCTTACATGCAGAAAGCGGTAACAATGACGAGTTTGACGAGGCTTACAGGCAAGTTCAACACTTAAATCGTTTGGTTATTTCAAAATAGCAAAGCAGAAAAAAAAAAATCTCATCGCTCATTAAATTACAGTTTGTTTCCAGGTGATAGTCGGAGCCCTTAGCAAGCAAATTAACTAGTTTTCCAACACTATGTTAAGCGTCCAATGACATGACTAACAACCGGTTAAGAAGCGAATACTGCGACAAAACAACTGCAAGAGTTCGGAAGTGAAACCGTCTACTTCTTGGTTGTACTGTCATCCCAATTCACTTGGACTCTTACAGTGATAACTACAAGTCGTTTTCTGAGTTACTGTTCGCTCCAGTGCTTAGTCAGAGCCCGAAAAAAAACCAAGAACAATCCTTTACCTTGAAGCGTTTTTAACCAGCGGCAGCAAAGGTCGTCTGCTTCCCATGCACGAAAGTAAAGTCCCACTGTTATAAGAAAAAGACCGGTTTTCGGACGCTTGACCCGAATACATCAGCTATATTCTCCAAGTTAGCATAGCTAGGTTTCCACTTGAAAGCTAGCCAGCGCTGAGTTAGCTAGCTAGTTCCCATTGACTCTGCGGGTCCAGCCCATGCAGCCGTATAATACGTGTACACACTAATGTCTGCAGAGCTCAGACAGACGGCGGCGGCCTACCAAATGTTTACATCGCACTGCGCATGCGCTGTGCGCTTCAACTCTAAGCAACACCGCCACCAAGTGTTTGAGATAAGGAACTGCACTTTAAAGAACTTTATTTTGATTCATTCAGAAAGAGGAAACACTTTATTTACCAATAAACAAAAATAGCTGTTAGCTGAAGGAGAGCTAGGATATCTTCAGGTAGAAGTTTTAGCTTTTAATAACTTTTAATTAACAATTTAGAATTACAATAATAAGGCAAGTCCACCATTTTATCAAAGAGGAGCATTTTGAGCATATTACACTTACTGCCTGGTCTCAGGTACACAGCAGCTGTCCTGTAGACTCATTGGCCACTCACTTAGATGCATCTGTACAATATAATATAATCCTAATATAATCCAACACAACAGCCCTGCCTAATATCTTTACAATGGGCATAAAGATGGTGTTGTGCTGGACTTTTCTAATTAGAGACACCTCTCAATATAATACAGTCCAGTACAACACCACCACTAAGTAATGACCTCAGTGCTAAATGCTATAATGTAACTGACACTTGTTGGTGTATGATAGTGTCAAAATAACTGAGCATTATATGTAAAATTATAAAAGTAGACCTTATGGCAGAAAAGTTAATTGTGGTAATTGTGACAAGGCCAATGTGGTGCACTGACTACATACAAGCCTTTTAAAAACTAGTTGAGTACTATACTCTATAAAATATTCTAGCTTAGTGAAAAAAGATTTATTAGTGTTATATTAAAGGTACGTAATGCAAGACAAAGTTATTTGGTCTTCATTTGAGAGTTAACCATATTATATTGGTGTTTAATTCTCATTTAAAACAAACCTCACGGACTGCATTTTTTTCATCTGCGTAATATTGCGAAAATTAGGCCTATCCTGACCCGAAAAGATGCAGAAAAATTGGTCCACGCTTTTGTTACCTCTAGGCTGGATTACTGTAACTCTCTATTATCAGGTAGCTCTAGTAAGTCCTTAAAAACTCTCCAGCTAATTCAGAATGCAGCAGCACGTGTACTAACAGGAACTAAGAAACGAGATCATATTTCTCCTGTTTTAGCTTCTCTGCACTGGCTCCCTGTAAAATCCAGAATTGAATTTAAAATCCTACTGTTAACTTATAAAGCTCTAAATGGTCAAGCTCCGTCATATCTTAGAGAGCTCATAGTGCCATATTATCCCACCAGAACACTGCGCTCTGAGAACGCAGGGTTACTCGTGGTCCCTAAAGTCTCCAAAAGTAGATCAGGAGCCAGAGCCTTCAGCTATCAGGCTCCTCTCCTGTGGAATCATCTTCCTGTTACGGTCCGGGAGGCAGACACCGTCTCCACATTTAAGACTAGACTTAAGACTTTCCTCTTTGATAAAGCTTATAGTTAGGGCTGGCTCAGGCTTGCCCTGTACCAGCCCCTAGTTAGGCTGACTTAGGCCTAGTCTGCCGGAGGACCCCCCTATAATACACCGGGCACCTTCTCTCTCTCTCTCTCTCTCTCTCTCGTATTCTATTACTGCATCTTGCTAACTCGGCCATTCTGGATGTCACTAACTCGGCTTCTTCTCCGGAGCCTTTGTGCTCCACTGTCTCTCAGATTAACTCATATCGCAGCGGTGCCTGGACAGCGTGACGTGTGTGGTTGTGCTGCTGCCGTGGTCCTGCCAGATGCCTCCTGCTGCTGCTGCCATCATTAGTCATTAGTCATACTTCTACTGTTATTATACACATATGACTATTGTCACACATGTATACTGCCAGATATTAATACATACTTTCAACATATTGTACCACAGTAGCCAGAACTATAACTATAATATTATTACTTTCAATAATGTTGTTGTAAGCTACTGTCATTACCTGCATCTCTCTCTCTCTCTCTCTCTCTCTCTCTCTCTCTCTGTCTCTCTCTCTGTCTCATTGTGTCATGCGGATTACTGTTAATTTATTATGCTGATCTGTTCTGTACAACATCTATTGCACGTCTGTCCGTCCTGGAAGAGGGATCCCTCCTCAGTTGCTCTTCCTGAGGTTTCTACCGTTTTTTTTTCCCCGTTAAAGGGGGTTTTTTGGGGAGTTTTTCCTTATCCGCTGCGAGGGTCATAAGGACAGAGGGATGTCGTATGCTGTAAAGCCCTGTGAGGCAAATTGTGATTTGTGATATTGGGCTTTATAAATAAAATTGATTGATTGATTATTTTCAGGGTCTGGAAATTTGTACCTTTCTGCACAGTTGAGCAGTGTGTTTGCATATTTAGATTTTATACATTTTAGGGATTTGCAGTACAACAAAAAATCATTACAGAAAGCTTAAAAGATGTTTGGTGTTTTCATAAATTTTGCTTTGTGCGTGTCATATTTGGCCATAATGATAATTGTGTTAGTCAACATATTGTCTCATCCTTCTTTCATAAATACATGACATTCTTTTGTTTAAACCATTCTTCCATCTGTTTCCAAATAGTTGGGAATGACCACAAGTTGCTACTGGTTTCAGTATCTGAAGTGCAGAAAGAACAAACATTACTCTCAAAGTTAAGTCTCATTCTAAGGGATTCACTGAAAGGATATATATTACTAATTAATTTGAAATGAATTTCTTTGCCTTTTAAGAATTCATCCATGTAAAAAAAAATACATTACTCAAATGAATTGGTTTGGATATAGATCATCAATTAATATTTTTCCCATCTGACTACTATTACATTTTTTAATCGAGGATTTGAAGTTCTCCGATATATAGATTTGGCAATGTTGATACTGAATTGGTTTGGGGATGGTATATCCTCAAGCTGAAGTGCGGTACTTATCTCAAAGCACTTAGGTTACCAACAAACCTCTCAGGTCAGGGCTGTAGTCACCTATGTAACATTATCTACTGTTACACCTTCTGCAGCCAACCCTCGTGGGTGTGGGGTGAGGGAAAACCCCCAGGAGACATTTTTTAGAGTGCTGAACAAACTATCTTAGAGCATCTGCAATCAAAAATCTTAGATCAGGGGTTGTCAGGTTTTTAGGGGACTAACAGATGATTGAAGGCTGCAGAATAAAAATGCACTTTTACATACTATCACTTTACAAAAACTAGAACAGCCAACATTGATACAGCCTACCTAACACTTATGTTATGTTTTAGGTTTCACTTTTGAATACATTTAAAAGCAATGAACAGCGACACTTTTTGCTGAGGTACAGCAACCCTACCAGAACTCCAGTGCACCATAACATTATGCACCATCATAGTATTTATGATTCTGATTACATTTGCTAATGATTATTTCAGACAGCAGTGTGTGGTTGTTTTATTCCTCAAATGTTATCAATATGTGCAACCAAGTCATCCTGGTAGGACCATAACAGCATTTCTGTAACACTCGCCTTTTAAAAACTAGCTGAGTACTGTACTCGTTTAGTGAGAAAAGTTGTAATGGTATTATAGCGTACTTTACAAACACATAACAAGCATTCTCAGTTGCCATAAGAAAAGCACTTTCCATCCTTGGAGGGGACTGCTTGGCACATGTCATTAGGGTTATCAAGGGGGCATGTTAGCATGTCCCATTACTGATGTTTATTTCAGTTATGGCCACAGCACCTCCTGAGGACTGGAGCTCCCACCAGCTCTTAACACTGACCAGAACAATATTCACCTACTTTGCCCTTCCTGACCTCTCGCCCTGCTGATCTCAGTACAGTTTTACATTTTAGTGAACATAATGCCTTGGTAAATATATCCACTGACAAAGACTACAGACTTGTAAAGGACTATTTACAGTTGTTGTTAATTTCAAATTCTTAATGACCTCAATCTGTTACGTTTAATCTATTCCAAAATAAAAAAATAGCGAGTAGTTTGTATAAGAGAATACGTTCAGGAAACAGGAGGCAACAAAAGGAAGAACCTGAGCTATATTGGTATTAGTCATTCTTTCATCACAGATATGATTATGTATCACCACACTTCAGACATTAATAAGCCAGTAACAGTGAAGATAGCGTAGATTACATTATGAGTGCTTAAGACAAAAAGTCTCAAGCTTCCTGTAGCTCTTTGTGTGTAGTGCTGATCAGTATCTGTTCTTCAGAAACTTACCTGAGGTTCATTGCTGAGAGAAAAGTTACTTCTGTTCGAGCAGACTGGAGGTTCAAACACTGCTGTCACAGTGCCCACAACAGAATCAAAAAATACCATTAATCAAATTAGAAAAACCTTGCTTCTTACATTGTGGTTATTCCTCAAAAAACAAAACTGTAAACCGTGATAAAAGTATCTACGATGATCTCGAAAGTGATCAGGAGCTGCTTCGCTTCCTCTGACAGCTGACATTCACAGAGCCAGAGCTGTCAATAGAAACTCATGATGAAGTCACTACATTATGGCGTAAGTGTTCTGATGAAAAAGTGAGCGAGCAGACTGCCTTGATTCACATACCAAACAGTCCTAAAACCCACTTTTCAGGTTTCACCTGAGAGCAGTGACGCATCTCTTTTGTTGGTTGTTAGACACTCCTCTGTTCTTAGAAGGAGCTGAAAAGCAGTGGAGGAATTTGTAAACGCACAGTGTTATGGTTATAAGTGGGAATTATGAACTCTTGATGCACACAGGTCAAATATGACATCAGTCTTTCAGCAACATAACTCATATGTGAGTATGTATAGTAAGAGGGAGACAGTCCTCCTTGTGGGCCACACAAGAGAGATCAATTCGAATTATGATTAATCTTAAATCAGCTATTTTGTGAGGACATAGGTCTTTTAAGGTTAAATGACTGAGATGCAAGCATAAGTTCACTTTTAGTTAAACACACATTTCTTACTTATACTACAGCTACAAGGACTAAACACAACATTTTACAAACAAGACACAAGAGGGAAAGGAGAAACTGGTACACGATGCTGTGGCTAATGAATGACTCCAATGAATAATGCAGTTTTCTATTGTGTAGTGTATATGAGACCTGATAAACAGAGGGTAA